AATTTTTATCATTTGTTACACAGGGACCTTTTGGGACTTTAAGTCCCAAATGGTAGGACTGGACCTGAAAAAGTCCGATCCGGACTGTTCAGGACCCGGTCCCAAAAGGACTGATTAACATCCCTAGTAAAAACAGAAAAAGTGGTTTTTTTCTTTTTCATAGGGAATGTTTCTGTATTCTATCCTTTTACTTCATTGTATTTAGGAAGAAAACATTAGAAGTGTACATAGATAGCTATTATATGTTATTGATAAAACATTTACATCATCTATAAACATCAATTTTGGGGATTATCTTTAAAAGGCTTCAGGACCAATAAAAGTGTGTAATTAAAAAAGTAAAACTACAATTTGATAAATATTGATTAGAAGAATAAAGCTACGGAAAAATTTATTTGAAAAGTTATATAAATTTTCCTGTGAAGCCAAAAAATAATCATAATGGAAATTGGTTGCAGATCATTAAAAAATGATCAACATAACCAACAAAACATAATTTACAGTGAATGCTTTTGTAATAAAAAGTAGGTGATAAACTGGACTTCGATTGGATCTCAATTGGATCTCCAACTTAAAGAGGTGAAAACTATATGTTAGTGAAGTTCAAGAAAAACAGGCACCGTGTAACATATTGGATGAAACAAATTTCCACTATGCTAAAATAAAGGTCATTTTGTATACAGTGCAGATCATCTATACTCAAAAGTCAAAATTTTGAAATATCATGTGATCCACATGTTGGATTTTAAAAAACCACCACCATTCAATTCAGCTTTAAAAAGTGAGTCAATCCATGTAAAAAAAAAATTGTCTCAATTTTTTTTTAATGGATTTTTTAAATTTGAGTTATGCTCAGAACTGCAATAATAATCCAAATTTGATGATGATTTTCTTTTGATAATATGTTGGTTGAACTTTTTTATTGTAAAGAACTTTTATTATTATTAAAAAAAAGAAAATAAATAAATCAATATATGGTGTAAAAAATATTTTAAAAAAATTTTGTTGCATGAAATTTACTTGGTCTCAATTTCTAAATGTTTAACAAAATTTGGAATTTTCAAAATGCTAAGGCTCTGCTAATTTTTAGTTTAAGAAAAAACTAGCTGATAAGTTTTGAAGCATGAGTCATGAACAATAAAACTTATCAGTTAAATTTTTTAAAATGATATAAAAATTTTTTGTTCTAGTATTTTGAAGCTGACCAATTGTCACTGTAAGCAATTAATTGATTATAGATGATCTGCACCGTATGTTTGTGAAATTTGAGCAATTTCCATTTTAGGTAAAATCAATATAGATCATGTGATATATGTCATTTATTAAATCCAATTCATCCACAACTGAAACAGGCACAACAACACCTATGAGATTTATACTTCATCTTTTAAAAATATAAAATGACATTTATTGAAGTTTTATTTACAAAATTTATATAATTTAATTCTATATAGAACATACTCTTTTTTTCCAATTTGTGCTCTTGCATCCTTTAATTGACTTTTATGTTTGGATGGATAAGGCATTTTTGGGAATTTTCAAAATGCTAAGGCCCTGCCAATTTTTAGTATAAGAAAAAGCCAACTAATAAGTTTTGAAGTTTGAGTCATGAACAATAAAACTTATTGGTTAACTTTTTTAAAATGACAAAATTTTTTGTTTTAGTATTTTGAAGCTGACCAAAAGCAATTAATTGATTATAAATGATCTGCACTGTAGTTACTATAAATTTTGATTACAAGTTTATTTTTTTCCTCATTTGGCCAAGATTAAGAAAAGTTTTCATAAACTGAAAAACAGACTTTTCATTATAAATCAATATAATGAAATTAACAATATTTGAAACTAAATAGATCAAAATTTAAACAATCAACCTATAAAAATGAAAATCAATAATCAATTAATTAATTCCATGTACAATAAATTTAATAATTTATATTTTATATATAATATATATAGTTACCCCAGGCATGATAATTTTGTCCTCACTTTGTGGTTTGAATTCATCTATTACAATAAAGTGACGATATTTTTTGTAATAGAGCAGTTGCATTCTACCCATAGAATAATAACAATTCCCTTTTTCATTGATCATAGATACCTATAATAATAAATAAATAGTGAATCACTGAAGTATATTTATAATAATTTTTAGCAAAATAAAGTTAAAAAATTTGATATAAACACTATATAGTTCTACTGGAAGTAAATATTTTATGTATCCCTCATTAAGTCCATCTAAGATTCCTTTATAATTATTAAAAAGCCTACATAAACAAATTTATATTGTTAATATAATTCCTAAATTATAAACACTTACTAAATTATTTATTATTACCTTTTAGCTGAAGATTTGTCTGTTTGATTTAATAAATCAAAAGTTTTTAATATTGATTGAATAATATATGGATGAATTTTAACCACCCAATTGGTATGCTACAAAAATATTAATAATATAGTAATAAATTAAATAAATTAATTATTCAAAATTAAAAAAATTTTCCCTATTAAATAAAAATAATAAATACTCCATCAACATATTCCTTTAATAAATGTGCCAAAGAACTAATTTCTGTAAGAGCATTTAAAGTTGGCATTATAATTCCACCAGAAATTAAAATTTCTTGTGGACAAATTTCTTTATCAGTAAAGCTAGGTATCATAAAAAATTTAAGACTTGCTCGACTTTTTAATTTAATAATATTATCAATGAATGGTAAATTATTTATAAACAATGGGTGAACCTAATAATATTATTATTAATTAATATATTTATTAGTATAATTATTATTGTTTGGATTTTTTTTGTAACTTACAAGAATTAAATTTAAATTTCTATCCTTAAGATTTGTCACATTAGCACCAATATACTTCATATAGCATTCCATATCAAAACTTTCTGGTTGGCCTGGTGGTGTTAACAAACAATAATTTGATTTTGAAAAGATTTTATAAAGATTCTCTGGTAATTTTATAACTCTACTCATTCCTGCTCCAACATAAGTTTTATAATCTTTAAAATCCTTATCATTAGTAAAATCACTACTGATTGTAATAACTTCATTCTGAAATTTTGTAAAAAAATTTGTATTCACTCTTAAAAGAATAAAACTACACTCAACACGTGGAATATGAAGCATCTGATTAATGTTCCCACTATTTGGTAAAAAATATAAAACCCAATCATTGAAAATTGTAAATGATGCCTTTTTTTTAATTAATAATAAAAAAACATGTGATTTATCATTGTTAATATTATTGTCATTGAAATAGAATCAATAGAAACAAAATTAATTGATTTTTAAACCTAACTCTTTCACTCCATTTATGCATTGTTCTCTCTCTCTCTATAGTTGCATGATCACTTGAAACAAACACCATTGATACAAAAGTTGAACTATTTTCACCAAGCTGATTAAAAACATTGAAAACATAATCCAATGGATGAAGATATTGAAGTGTAATTTTATCTAGAGATTTTAATGCATCACTTATTTCATCAAAATAAGAATGTGTGTATATATATATTGGTATTTAAGATCATTATCAATAAAAATAATTATTTAATAAAATGTTTTAATTACAATAATTCCAAGTCTGGTGTTATTCTTGGCCAAGCATCAATATGAATCCTACTAATATATACTGGTGTCTTTTGTGATCGTACCATCTTGTAAAGACCACCAGTCCATTTTCCTTGAAAACTAGAAGTCATTGATGACAATTCATTTGATTCTTTTTGTTCCACAATTTCTAAGTTACTTAATAAATCAATATATGCATTTTACTATTTTAAAAAATAAAATAATAATAATAATAATAATATTAATAAACTATAAACAAACTTTGATGACTTATTAAGTTTGGGTGAAAGTGGGTTACTCTGAGGAACATTAGGTGGTTGTGAACTATTTAAAAAAAGATTTGTTGTTTGTGAACTATTTAAAAAACTGATTTTTGCTTGTGAATTATTTAAAAAAAAATTTGCTGCATGTAAATTACTCTGAGGAACATAAATTGCTTGTGGATTGTTTAAAAAAGTTTTTGTTGCTTGTGAACTATTTAAAACACTAACTGTTGCTTGTGGATTATTTAAAAAAGAATATGTTGTTTGTAAATTATTCTGAGAAACATGAGGTACTTGTGGACTGTCCAAAAAAGTATTTTTTGCTTGTGAATTATTTAAAAAAGAATTTGTTGTTTGTAAATCATTCTGAGGAACATAAAGTGCTTGTGGACTGTTTAAAAAAGTATTTGTTGTTTGTAAATCATTCTGAGGAACATAAAGTGCTTGTGGACTGTTTAAAAAAGTATTTGTTGCTTGTAAATCATTCTGAGGAACATAAAGTGCTTGTGGACTGTTTAAAAAAGTATTTGTTGCTTGTGAATTATTTAAAAAATAATTTGTTGTTTGTAAGGAACATAATTCATCAATATTACGTCGATCAGTCTATTATATGATTAAAAATTAATTTATTTCAAGATAAGACATGTAAAAAAAAAAATTGTAACATACACTTGTATAATTATTATGAGGTAAATGTCTGGCTAATTGTTTGCAATTAGGTGTTGTAATAATAGGTGGTTTGATTAACTTTACTAATTTTTGTTTTTTAGCTAAAGGCTTGTCATTATTAGTAGTAAATGATGTATTTTCTTTTGTTTTAGGATTATAAATATGGCCTAGTTTATTTAAGAATATTTCAAGCCTTTGCTGACAGTGTAAATGATGCTCTGGCTCCCATGTCAAATCATTGTATCCTAATTATATTATTTACATAGACATTCATTCATTATTAATAATAAAAATATGTATTTTTTTTAATGAACAGTATTAAAGAACTTGCTAAAAAAAAATTGCTTTTATTAAATTTACCTGCCCATTTTATCAAATAATATTTTTCTCCATATTTGGTTCTCATATCTAATATTTCATCAACCTCATATTCTTCGCCAGATCCTTCAAATAAGCTATATTTTTCCTTTATATAATCACTATTACCTCTAAGATCTTGTTCTGAATTTTTAGACATTATTATTAAAAAAAAAACCAAATACTTTATGTTTATGAGACAAAAAATTTTATAATTATTATTATTTTTTTTTTTTATTTTATATAGCACCACATTTTTTTTTTTAAATACTGTAATGATCAGCAATCTAAATTCCACAGAGCATAGCAATAGCGGACATTAGTATAAGTGGTAATGATTTTCGTTGATCATATCATGCAAAAAAAGTAAATTTGATTGGCCCAAAATAAATTAAAATTTTAAAGAAAAAAAAAGAATTTTATTTTTTTAATGAAGCTTCAATTAATAAATTCTTGTGTATCTTGCTAACCCAACATTTAATCTATATATTATAAAAAAGTGTGGAAGTTTTATCAAATATATATTGGAAGCAAATTTTATTTATCTTATTTGAGATGTGGACAATAGAAAACAGGGCCAACATCTATCAATCATGTATAAATAATGTTTTTTATAAGTGTCTACTTATTCAATATGTAAAAAATAAAAAAAAATAATACATTTACGACTACCTTTTATGCCTCAAGTCAATCATACAGCATCCATGTATAAATAACGTTTTTTATTAGTATGTACTTTCCAATATGTAATAAATAAAATAAAAAATAATACATATGTCATCAGGAGATTTTTTCTGATGCGGATTTACATAATTATTATACTATTTATGTAAGTTTATGGCAGGCCCCATAATGTTATGCAAAAATCATACAAAAAATATGCAATTATTATATTGAGTGTAAATATTACATTATTTTTTATGCAAATATTACAACTTTACATATTAAAATTTATGGATGTAATTCTTGGGTTCCATGGTAGACCTAATATAAATTAACTATTTTTATATAGGGATAGTTCTATAACCAATAGGACATTATAAAATTAATTGTGATGATAATAACTAAATTTCATCCCTGAAATTCTTGGTAATACCAATGTTCACTTTGTTGCAGTATGCCCCAAATAATGATGATTAGATCATCCCTATTATAATAAGGAATTAATATATATATACACTCACCTACCATAAGTATCCGACCACCCAAGTTGTGTAACGTCAAAATGAAAAGAGTCCTTACTAGTCAAACGATGTGTCACATTAAACAATTGGGAAGTGTATTTTCCGAAATTTTTTGGTGATCAACGTCAAAATTCTATTAATAAAATTAGCCACAAACCTTAATTTTAACCCTTTTTTGCTCACCAATCTCCACCAAATTTG